GTAAACTGATAAATTCGTAATTTCTTCCGTGTAAGGGGGGGGGGGGACGAGAGCTCGTATTCACGCGCATATATTACTTTCGGCCCGATCGTAAATGTCGTCGGTAACGCGCGAAACCGTCAAAGATGTAACAATTCGCGGGGCGATAAAAGTTTGTTGTCAAAACGCTAATCGCGCTAACAGCGCGATATGACGGTAAACTTCCGACGACCGTTCCGCAGTCGTAATGAGAAAGAGAGAAGCGCAGTCGGGCTTGATATTTTATTTTGCATGTGCTCTCTCTCTCTCTCTCTCTCTCTCGAATGTAATCGACGAGAATGTTGTCGATTGAATCGATAAAACAGTACTTCGTCGATGATACCGAACAGCAAATTTTGATCGACTCTTTGTTTCTCAGTTTCACTAAGCAAGCGGGTGATTCTTGTAGGACTTTTCACACCGGAAAAGGATACGTTTTTCGAAAACCTTCATCGTCCTTCAGTTTTTAGAAACTCCGCTTTGGATCCCGTATTTAACAGCGCAAATTCGTAATATATGTAATATATAGCTGTACACATTTTAATTATTTTTTTACAACATAAAAATGTGATCCTACGAAGCTCCTTTTATTATTTATGTACAATTTAAAGTGATATATTAAAATAATAAAATTTACTGGCAGGTTTTAATGCTAAAAAAATTGTATTGCAATTTTGTAGTGTGGTGGAAAAAGTGAAAAATATAATGATGGATTTATAATAGCATGCACACACACATATACACACACACATGCAAAGAGAGAGAGAGAGAGAGAGTTTCATTAGCCTCATGAAAAATTTTGGAAAGTTATCGACAAAGAAGAGCAGGTTTTCTTTACCTTATATCAAATTCCATTTCATAAGTGAGGCAAAAATAAAGAAAGGAATATTCATAGGACTTCAAATGAAAATAATTTATGTTTGTTGAAGAACTTCTTGAAAAATCATTGTGTTCCAAATTATAAACATATACATGTCTGTATATTAAGGCTCTTGTTTCGTTGTTATCTTGATTAATTACGTTAAAAGTGAAGAAGCATAAGCCAAAAATTCTTACGAAATACATTGAAATAAAAGGATCTCCCATTACGAAATAAAACTTGTAATCAATTGGGCATATTTGTGAAATATTTCGAAAACATTTTTTTTATTTTAACAACCTCAAAAATAGCCGAAATTTTAACATAACAAAATTATGAAAAGAGATAGGTTAATAAGGAAGGTTACATGTCATATTAATTTTACGGTTATTTATCAATGGTTAGAACAAGAGAAAGTTTTCGGAATATTTTACAAATGTGATCGATTGAGTATAATTTTAAAGTTTCGAGAAAAACCGTTTTTTCTCTATTTATCCGCGAATTTCCTCGGTTTCTGTTCCAAGGGTATAAAAATTCGTTTAAAACATTCACGTGTATTCGGTTATAACTTGCCGCATTTATTTTTTCCGCAATGAAAATAAAAAAAACTCACGGAAAAGTGAGAAAGAAACGTTTTTTTTTTTAACTCTTTAAAACTATATAATTGAGAATTTTTGTAAAATATCCCGAAAACTTTCCTCTTACCTTTACAATCTCGATAAATAACCGTAAAATTAACGTGGTAAAATCATGAAAAAGGATAGGTTGCATGTCATGTTTTCAATTTTATGGTTATTTTTGTTCGTTAAAGCAATGAGAAAGTTTCCGGGCTATTTTACAAATGCGATCGATTGATCACAAGTGTCATTTTATGGACATATATTTTTATTTCGACATGTTTTGCAAAAATTTCGGCCATGCGTTTCTTCGCTTTTCACGTCATCAAACAAAAAATGAAACGAGAGTCCAAGAACTTTAAAAACAACTAACTATTGAACCACACATTTCGGAAAAGTCGCTTGCACCGTAAACAGGGTCATATTGATTCTATGCAATTTTCTAAATTCCATTTCTGAAAAAATATAAAAGGAAAGACGTTGATAAAATTCCAAAATAAAGTGTAATTCTTATACTTTAGTGTTTGACCATGTATTCATAGAAAATCAAGTTTTAAGTTACTGAGAAAGATTAAAATTTGGACAGTGGTCTCGCGAAAAGTAGTGTTTTACTTAAAGAGTCATGATACTTTGACTTTTTATCTTGATCTACAACTGTAGGGCGACGAAGTTGAAAGATAATTCTAATAGAAAAATATTACTCTAATGCGCATTTGAAAACAATTTTTTTTGTTTATTTTTTTTTATTGAAAAGAAATTATTGTGAAGTTTAAAAAATAAATATTTCTACGGGGAGAAAATACTTTTGTTATGAAACTATCAAAAATAATTTATTTTTTACTGGCATTGTTTAAAAGAATAATAAATTATTTAAAATCGCGTTTGTAGGACTCGCTAACATAGGTTATATGTCATCTGACCCCAGTATAACATTATTATTTATATTACCTTTCGAAAAAAATAAAACGCAATCATAATTTTACTTACGTTTTTACTTACGTTTGCACACAAATTTTTAGCAAAAAATAATCACTTCAATTGTGGCACTAAATTATACACCGACCGCACACTATGGGTTTAACTGACCCTGAGTCAAGTTCGGATGGCTCCTAAATGTGCATTAACCGGCTTTTTAGGTCTGCACCGTATCTAATGGATAGCGACTCTCTAACGATTTATCGGGAGTAAGGAAAATCCATAGATCACGTACTTCTCTTCTCTATAGCTCTATAGCTTAAACGCAACTCACTGAGTCTATCTGACCCAGAGTGCGGTCGAAGGATTAACACAATAAAAAGAATAAATAGTAATTTTCATTGTTTCCTGCAGTCAGATTTCACTGATGGAAATATCAGTCATTGTCATTAAGATAGTTGATTTATAAATTAATTTTCTTAGAATTTTTTTCAAAATTTTAACAGTATATTAATTGAAGCACGATCTTCATGCAAAATTAGAAAAAGATGGATCGAATCTGAGGTAATTGCAGTAACGATTAGCACTATTTCTACGTATCACAGATACGAAAACGGCTTCTGATATATTAAGGTTTTAATTCTAGCGATTCATCACTCGTGCGGTTTTAATAAAAACCGGAAGACGATAAAAGAGATATTAAAAAACATAAGATATGAAACATTACAAAATCATTGATCGTTTAGTTTTTCAGAAATTGATATACAGAGTATGTAAGCGAACCTGTGATTCACGAACGCGCGCAGTAGATAGACAATTGTCGAAATTACATCACACATGTAACTTTAATACATACACATCTAATTTTGACAGCTGTCCGATCATCTATTCCTGAATCACAGATTCTCTTCGTCGTGCTTTTCGTGTGTTCCGAAGTACGCAGGAGAAATACTTGCGACCGTCCTGTGACCGAGTATGTGTGTACATATCTCCGCCTTGATCTTCTCGTAAATCGCGATCTCTCGATTCCTCACGGCTCTCCGGATACATTATCTGAACGAGACGTTGCGGCTTCTCCGCGAAATACGATAAGAATATTCCCATTCGATGCGCATTTGTACCACTTGACGAGGTTCTCCCCCTCCCCCCTCCCAACCCGGCGAAAAGCGACACGGCGTCGATACGTTTGTTCTCGACCGGAACGAACGCGCGGCGGGTATGCCTGATTTTTTTCCCCCCACCGGCTCTGTGGAGCGAACGGAAGATCTCGCCCCATCACAGCTCGCCGACGTGTCGAGATGCGGTTTGTCAGGGTCGAACGTATTTGCATAATTCAACGAGCCGCCTGGCATACACTTACGTCGGGCTAACGCGGGCCTCAATTTATGATCATTTTTGCCGCGCTGACGAGAACGTCGATATCGGAGAGAGAGAGAGAGAGAGAGAATTGGATAACTCTTGGACCACCATCACCATCGTTACTGCCGCTTCCTCCTCACTTCCGCGAGAGAGTTCGTTATAAGGAGAACACCGCCACCGCCGCGGCGATGAACCGGAGTCGGGGATCGACCTGGTCCCCGGATGCCGGGGGGTATCGTGTTTCCCGCGCGGCACGATGCGTTTGCATAATTTACCGGCCGATGGACGCAGCTGGGGCTGCCAAAGTTTGCGCAACAATCTCGAAATTAAATTTGCAGCGACTTTTAGCACATCGCGGGTGGAGGGACGTCGGCGGCGGCGGCGAGCCGGGGTGATTCGTTACAACTTTAAACGGCGTTTAAGAAGTACGTGAGGGAGAGGGGGGCGAGGGGGGAGGCTCACTCGCGCACGCTCGCATTGCCGCCGCAATAATGCAGGGTGTTCCGGGGTGATAGGGGCAGCTGGAGCGCAAACGTTTGGCGGTACAAACATTTGGCGTGCAAACACCGCGAGAACGCGCCGTATACTATGACCAAATGGACCCCTCCCCCCCCTCTCTCTCTCTCTCTCTTTCTCCTCCATTCATTCAAACTAGGTTTCCTACACGGACGATACGATTACAGAGGAACGTCTGTTCTTTCCCGGTTCTCGCCGCCGGCGACGTCACGAACCTGCACGTGACGGTCCGCTGATTAATTCAGCGAACACGTCGAACGGTCCGATGGGATCGCAGATTGTAAACGCGAGTCCTTGCGATATGCAAAAAAACATACATAGTCTGCAACTTGGGTTGCTGAGGGCACCAACGCGTATTTCACCTATTTTTATTAGAAAACGAACAACTGAATACTGTCATCCTTACACACACACACACACAAGCGCACTGCCCCCAAGTTTTTTCACGACGGAGTACTGAATCCTACCAATCGCTCTCAAATTCACAATCGAAGAATCGACTGTGCCTTCAAATCTCCACACTGCCGGCGGTGTGAGTTAGGGAACAACAGGCGGGTGAGGCCGCGGGTCATTAGATTCCGGCGAAGAATTTGCATGCTGACGCGCACTCAGGCGCGCTTAACTTCCCGGCGTCCGCGTGTTAGGTAAACAGCGGCCTATCCGCAACGTGGTGCTGGCCTTGGGGGTCTTGACACGTGGGTAATTGCGTTTTCCAGGTGCGGCCCGGAACTTTGGGAAAGCCCGTGCACGAGTGCTCGCGTACTTCGGCGAAAGAGACGGACAGAGAGGGCGAGAGTGTGAGAAAGGGGAGAGGGAGGGAGAGAGAGAGAGGCAGCGGTGAAGAACGAGAGGCCGCCGGAGGTGTATCCCGTTTGCGATGCCGCGTCGTGCTGCGTAGCGTGAGTAATGCAAACGTCATTTTCCCCGCGAGAAGTTTGGTCGCGCCGGTACACTTCGAGAGACTTCCGGCTGAGGGAGCGTCTGAGGGAGCGAGCGAGATATCGGAGGCGCGTTAATGGAAACGTTACATTTCGGGCCGGCACTAAATTTCATTTGCATTCCGAAGATTAATACCGGCCGCACCTGGCGGTGCGCGCGCGGGACCATCGATTATTTCGAGCTCGTAAATTCCGACCTTAAGCAGAACGCGCGCGCGAGGGAGTAGAGCGCAGTTAATTTTACGAATAGATTGCGCGCGCGGTACACTCCCGGTAAATCGCGCGCGCGCGTACTTACTTCCTCCCCCTCCCTCCCCCCGGCGTCAGCGTCAGATTACGCGCGGCGGAACATTAAAGCGGCCGGGAGGCTTCCTCCGTACTTGACCGCTAAGCCCTGATGGAAGTCCAGGAGCGGGACGACGCGGAGGAACGGACGAGAGGAAGGGAGCGAGGAGAGGGGACGAACTGGGAAGAAGAGCAGCAGCGACAGCGGCAGCAGTAATAGTAGTAGTAGTAGTAGTAGCAATAGTAGTAGTAATAGCAGTGTTAGTGGAAAGAGAAGGTAGAAGAAGAGGAGGAGGGGGAAGGGGCGTGTGCACGTTAACGACGACGAGGAACGACGGGCCGAATCCTCGTCGGGAGTCGGGGAGGCGAAACGCGACGGCGATGGCCCTTTCGCGTTTCGTAAACATCGTAAACTGCGAATCATTGGAAGTGACAGGCAGACGGGCCGACTGTTCACGAAGAACTCGACGTCGCGACGTTGATAGCCCTTAACTTTGCGCATGCTAATGCGACATCCGAGGGGGAGAGGTGTGGGAGGGGGGGGGGGAGAGACGGCCGCCCTGACAACGCCGCGCAGCTACTTCCATCGCTCGCGAACGGGGAACAATGAGTATCCGTGAAACAATGGCGCGGAGAAGCTGGGCACAACGGGCGGAATCGTACCTTGTTAGGGAATTTTAAGCGGGCAATGATATCATATCGCGGTTGCCCTCCGGCCGGGGATCGAGACCGGCGAGTTCCAACGTGGCGACGAACGCCGGAGCGGAGGCGCGCCCGCTTCAGGGCCGCTATTATATTCCCCCGGATCGGAATCGATTCTTCCGCGGCGGACGTTCCGCCAAGGAAATTATTATTCGGTTGCGCTTCTATCAAACATCGTCCGCGTATTCCCCGCGAAACTTCCCGATACGTTTCAACATTCAGCACGGCTTAACCTCTCGGTCTTGAGATCCCGCGCAACGGTGCCTATTGCAGCTCGATCTGTCGTAATTAATTACTTATTAATCAATGGCACGTTAATTAAGTAAGCCCGGATCTGTAACACAGAGAGCACGGGGAGAACGAATTTTGCTAGAACCAGCAAATGTTTGTCAATACAGTGACGGTGGAAAAAAGAAATTGGTTTGGAAAGTAAAACATTCGTTTGGTCAGCAGAGAAAGAGCGTTAATTGCTACTCGCTGGATATATGGCCAATTAATACTCTTGACAAATCTTCCCGTCCGGAGAAATTTTTTGCCGTCTGAGCAAATTTTTCTTCTCTGTCAATATATTGACGAGCATTTGCTGTTCTAGCAAAATTTGTTTCTTTCCGTGCGCCTGCAAATTATTCGACCAAAACTTGAATATTTTTTTATTTATCCGTGTAAGGTTGGATTATATTTTACGAGTATAAATACATTTTTCGTGAAATTTTCCCTCTTATATTTAAGATTTATAGGGCTCAATGAAAAAATTTATTTATGTAAAACTTTTGTGCGAATTATCCCTGTTGACAGTATTATTTGGCAATATTGACGTATGTTATTGTGTATAATCGTTCTTCTGGTAATTGTTGTCTTTATTGTAGCATTTTTAATTTTTTTTCAGGTAAATTGAGTATTTATTAAATCATTTATCGATTATAAAACTTATTTGGATTTCATTTTTCAATAATTAGATTAATAATTTATTTGTTTTTTGCTACGTCGGCTTCATTTTTTATATAAAAATCCCATTTTTGACGTAGAAAACTCCCAAAACACCTTAATTTTTTATATAAAAAATAAATTAATAAATTCATGTACATTTTGCTATATTTTGCATGCTTGGAAGAACTATAAACATATATTTGAGACCAAAAGTGACTATAAAACGTAGTTTATGGAGATTACAGTTATCCCAGCCATTTTTCTCTCTCAGTGTAAGCAACAAAAGTGCAGTATAACCTCCAACGAAAGGCATTTGCCATGAGTTGCGATGACCCTGAAATCTTAGGAACTACTATATTCGGTAGCACTTTAAAACAATACTTTTCTCTAGAGATTACGTTACAATTTGACGCTTTGCAGCGAAAAGACTAAGAGTTTACCACACTTATTGATTAGATTCCGCCTAGCCGAGACTCTCTTCACGGTATTCCGCTCGATTCATGTTTGCCGTGCGGAAACCGCCGAGAGACACCCGGCGACCTTTTTGAGAAAAATCCTTCGTCCGACAGTTGTCACGATCGCGGAGGTGCGTAACGAGAGAAATTTAGATAGACGAAATTTCGCCGGGGCAAGGTGGAATTGCGAAATCGCGAGGGGCCGGGGGGACACGTCCGGGACGATCGTTAACGTAATGTATATACGCGCGTATCGGCCTGCTTACCGTAAAGCGGAATGTTACGTTGTACGTTACGCGGAAGAACGTTCGTGCGCCGTATTGTTTACGGCTGGCGCGGCAGCCGGCTGGCTGGCTAGACGCGCGATGTCGCGCGCGCGTACGGAAAAATAATGCTGACCATTTCCATAAAGTTCATCGCTGCGCTCGGCGGGAAAAGACGATACCGGCATTGCGGGGGACGCTATCTGAGTACGAACTCAAACAGGAGCCAGGATAAAGGCGGAAAGGCGAAAGGAGGGTCTGAAATAACAGTCGAGCGTACTCGAGCCGTGAACGGAGATGCAGAGGGGAGAGAAAGGAGAGGAAGGAAACGCGCGACCGTTTTTCCCACGTACCTGCCAAAAGTTTATCTCGAGTTACGAAGAGGGTACGACGTCGTCGAAGAAAACTCATTGAGAAAGAGCGGAATCAAATGTCTCTCCTGTGCGCCCTCCCCGGCTGTCCGCCTCCTCTCGGCCGCCCGCTAACTTTTCTCCCACTTTAATCGCGTTCCCCTTTATTCTCTCAATCGCTTTAATTTTTCTCATTACGGACGCGATATCATTCAGAGGAATCGGCTCGGGATAATCGCTTGCTCGTCCGATAGTTTTCATCGCGCGGCGAACTCTTTAACTGGGGTCTACCGGAGAGCCTTTTTTTATTTTTAAAGGCGAGGTGATATAGGAAGAGGGATGTAGATGAAGAAAGATTCTGACAGGTTGGATGAAACGGCAATAAATTCCACCGACGCGTCAAAATTGCGTCATATACGGACAAAGCGAAATATATATGTGTACACGTGTATAGTATCGGTATAATATAGAGGGAATCATGGAGGAAAAACACGAAAACCGACATACCATTTTGCTTTTAGCCTCCGAAGCCTTGTTGAAGATGTGAAATTAAAATCCATGGATGCAACCAGCAACACTTCTCTGCCAAAGTATATGAGTCTTATGACGAAGATTATTGCATATTTCTTTTTTTTTTTTGCAAGCAACACTGTCCAACATTATTTCGCAACGCGAGAGGGAAAAGTCATTTCCGCTGTATTTTTGCTTACTCAACAAATTTGATTATCATGTCACAATTTTGAGAAAAATGGTGTCAAAGAGGCTAAAAACGACGATTTTCATAACGTTGTAGCACCGGCAGCACTTTTTCCTAAATCTCGTTAATGCCATGTGAAAAATACAATTTTAAAGCTAAACATTGATATTTTTGCGTAGTATTAAATAAATTTGGGAGAAAGATTTGCTGCCGATGCTACAATATGATGAAAACCCTAGGAATCGCTGTCTTTGACGCGATTTTTCTCAAAATTGTGACGTGATAGTCAAATCTAGGTAACGGATTCGCGTTCGGCAGGCAAAAATACATCGGAAATGGCTATTCATGTTCGTGATGCGAAAAAAAGTCAAATTTTGTCGGACAATGTGATTATTTCAGATATTTGAAGATAGACGCTTTTAGAAGCCGGGCTCCAAAAATCGACATATTAGTGATGCCTGCAGAAAATGATCAAAGAAATAAAATAGGAGCTCTGAAATTACATTATTTACATACATTTACTAAACGTCCTCACATGTTATTTCCAACCTATTCAATCCGAATCTATTCGATCCGAATTATTGATCCGTTACTTAAATTTTCACAAAAAGGAAGCTCAATGAATCTTCAGCACAAAACGAAATCTCAAACGTCGCTAATAACGCAACCGGATTCGCGCTTGCAGAGAGAAACTGCTACTTCAGCTCGAACTACTGTACACAGTAAACAAAATTCATGTACTGTCCGACAGAGTTTAATACTTCAGCCGAGAAATATGATTATGTCGGTTTATCTTAACTACGTACGTCAGTTTAGCTGTTCTTCTTCCGTATGTGATTATGTACACGATCAAATTTTTGTTTGCCTTATTAGATTTTTTTTTATTTTTGTTTGAATCGATTTGTACGCAGTTGTATATAGAATTGCAGCCATATATAAATTCGTATGCCGAAGGATCGGAAAAAAATCAGCCCCAAAATTGGCTTCAACCGGTCTCGGTGATAAAGCGCGAGCGCATTGTTACCATACCTCGCGAAACAGAATTCGAACCGCGAACAACGTTTGCCGGATGTTGCGAGTCGAAGCATAATTGGCTAAATAAGCGCGTAAGCCCGCGGCTTAACTTGTGCTCAAGAACTCGTTTCGCATTTACGCGCTTACCCGCCAGACTCCGGCCGAGAAGAGGGATAGAGAATTTCGGAATTGCGGTATAAGCCCGGTTATAGAAGGTGTCTCGTGCTTCCCTTTATCTACGAGACAATTTGGAGCTGATTTTCCTCGG